AGGGAGTTGCTCTATCACACACTCCCCAGTATGAGACAAATAAAGAGCTTTTTGAACATTAAAGCATGGAAACATGTCACAGTAGAGGCACAAAATACAAATATGAACCTGTAAATTAGCATAACAACTTAAAAGTAAATGCACAGCACTGATTTTGAAGGCCGTGCACATCCATCACTTTGTCGATCTTTGCTGTTTAGTTCTCTGCTCAAGTTGAAGTGGGGCCATTGAGTTTTATGAGGCCACCAAAGTCCATGCGCTGATAAAAATAATAAAGGTGTAATCGCTGCTTGCTTAGCCGTAACCAAATTATTAGGGGGGGTTGTGAATTGCTTCCTTTTTGCTGTGGGAAGGTATTCTGACTTTCAGTCACAGCACAGAAAAGTATTTTTATTTTTCAAGACATAACATTTATCAACATTCCCTTGCAAGAACAATGTAGATCAGTAAAAACGGAATCAAATGAACTGCCTCACCACTTTCTTTCGTATTACAACATCAGATAATAAAAGTTTAGATGTGTCATATCAATTTGCCCTTTATCGCAATTCAAGAAGTCAAGTTCAGCCTCATGTGATCCTCATGTTTTCCATTGATGGAATGATAAATGCATTTCGATAGTGAAAATAATATACTTGTTTAGCGTTATATTGAGGAATTTACGCAATTTCTAAATATATAATCAGATATTATAAGAGGAAATAATATACCTGAATTAAGCATTATCAGAATCCGAATCAGAAAACCTTATTAAAAAAAACTTAATTTTTCTGTATATTTATTCCAGTGGAGATTGGGTTTTGTGACAGATATATTTATTTATATAACAATAGGAAGTTAAATGTGCGATAAAATATTTTTTGCAATTGTATTATTAAATCATTTAATACATATACCCCACTTAAGGGATGATTATTACATATTGAGTTAACATAAAACAAAAAATTTACAAAAACACAATACTGATAATGACTTGCAATATGTATGTCTGATAATCTTGCATTGTGCGTCAGAGAGAGTGAGGGTGTTTTGAGCTGCAGGTTGTCAGCATTCTCAGCCTCCTACTCTCCGCTCTGCGTCACTCAGTGATCTCATTCCATTCACAGAAACTCGTGCTCTCTCTCTGCAGGAAATGCAGCTGTGGTGAAGCCGTCCGAGCTCAGCGAGTGCTCGTCCCTCCTCCTCCGGGCTCTGCTGCCGCGCTATCTGGACAAGGTCTGAACACCCACTGCTATTGTTGCTGGAATAATGTTCAGGGCTGCTGTAACGTCAAAGCCGTGCACCAACACAGGACAGTGCATCACAGATATGTTGGACTCCCTCCATCCATTATCTTGAATGTGACAGCATTTTGCTAATCACATTCCTGCTTTTATACAGTGTTTTCATTAGTTACCGCATGTAGTAGACATAGTTATACATGAAATAGTAAATATATTGCATTTATATAGCACTTTTCCAGTCTTTGCAACCTCTCAAAGTGCTTTGAGTCAGCATTCATTGAGGAACATTGATACAGTACAGGCGTTCATACAGGTGCCATCTGCTTAGGGAAACTAACATTCAGACACATTTCAAACACCACTAGTCCCTTTGAGAGCAATTTGGGGTCAATAATCTTGTAGGGGCTAGGGATCGAACCACCGACCTGCCAATTGGTGGACTTCCATCTACCTCCTGAGCCAAGGCCACCCCACAAACTAGGAGAGGACCCAGATTGCGCAGACCCCCGCCAAGGCCAACCGCTCGCAATGTTGATGGTTATACTGTATACAAGACATTAGGAGCATTGATATAGCAGCCAGAAACAACATGCTAAGTAAACATAGATAAGGCTATGTTTACCTAAGCAAAGAAAAAAAGGTTAATCCTTCAAAAATGCTCATCCTCTCAAGCTATTCTGTCGTTTGTCTTGGTAGCTGGGCCGGCTGTTTGTACATATTGGTCCATGTAAGTCTTCAGTATAAAGAGTAATGGATAGAGTGGATGAAAGTTTCTCAGTGGTGCATGAGGACAAAAATGGCCTGACTGTAGATACCAAAAGTCCCCAGATTATCATCATTATAATGATTTATCTAAAAAGAAGTACACACTGATTTAGAGAAGTCTCTTTCCCAATGTGAGTAAATGGATACAAGTCGTTTGGGCCCACATGACGGTACAGACTTACACAGACGTTGTCGTGAAGTAGCTACCCCCGTTTGACCACTACAGCATTTGAAGTGAAATGCCCACCAACTGCTTGCCCCGCGGGTCAACTTTGTTAGCTCTGTTAGCACTGACGCTGTTTTAAGCAATGTTAGACTGCTAGCTTTCTCCATTATAGTTAAACCACCTCCATGTTTGCTTGTGAAAACCCTGTGTGCTATTTCTGGCCAAACTGGTTGTAACTAACACCCATTTTTGCAATAATTTTTGTCTAGACCATGATTCTAACTATTCAGGAATTCAATATGTTCTTCCATGGCCCATGCTACGCCCTAACACCAATCACAAAAAATCAGGCTTGTGGTTCTCCTCTCTGCTTACAGGGAGACAAAACAAATACAAAAATATAGATTTCTTTCTGTTAACAGTTTGCTGTTTATTTCCAGGATCTGTACCCGGTTATAACGGGTGGAGTGTCAGAGACTCAGGAGCTGCTGAGGCTCAGGTTTGACCACGTCTTCTTCACAGGCAGCGGCAGCGTGGGTAAAATAGTGATGGAGGCCGCGGCTCGCCACCTCACCCCTGTGACCCTGGAGCTGGGGGGGAAGAGCCCCTGCTACATCGACAAGAACTGTGACATCAGAGTCGCCTGCCGGTAACAAAGCACTAACACCAGTGGGCATACACAGAGCTGGGTGACATGTCACTTACATTTAATGACACCAACCCTAACCCTTTTGCAAAAAACAGACCCCAATTAAATAAAATCATATCAAATATTATGTCTTTAAATATTCTGAATTGCCACTGCAATGTTCTGTTATCTTCTTTGACAGTCGTATCACGTGGGGAAAGTTTGTGAACTGCGGTCAGACGTGCATCGCTCCAGACTTCATTCTGTGTGAACCGTGCATTCAGGGCCGAGTGGTGGAGTGCCTCCGACTAACTCTCCTGGTACATTTCAACCCGTCCGACCTAACACCTCAATCATACTGCATAGTCTGGACTTTTTATCAATATTTTGATTTATCTCAGGAATTTTACGGAGCTGATCCCAAATGCTCGCCGGACTATGGCCGAATCATCAACACGCATCATTTCAACAGAGTCATGGGTCTGATGGAGGGCTACACCCCTGTGATAGGAGGACAGAGTGATGCCTCACAGCGCTACATTGGTAGGTAGATACAGCAAGGTAGTACATGTTAATGTTGAAAGTACTCAGGTCCTGTTATTATTTAAAAGTAGAACTACCAAAGCGTAGAAATACTCTGCTACAAGTACTGCATTCAAAATGTTACTTAAAGAGGCCCTATTAATCTTTTGGGGGGTTTTCCTTTTCACGTATGTTACAAAGGTTTGTGTGCGTGTAAATGGTCTGCAAATGCTAAAATCCCTGTGTTCCCTCCAGAGAGAGTGGAAAGAGGGAAAAAGAAGTATGAGAAAAATAAAGAGCTTTTTGAACATTAAAGCATGTAAACATGTAGAGGCACAAAATACAAATATGAACCTGAAAATGTGCATAATATGTCCTGTCAAAGTAAAAGAACAAACGTATTAGGATCAATATATACTTAAAAGTAAAATCCTTTTGCAGGAGGATTAATTTCAAAATAAAGGTTGAGACAATCTAATTTCTATATAAAAGTAACTAAAGCTCTCAGATAAATGTAGTGGAGTAAAATATTGAACTTTGAATTGTATTGTAGTATAAAATAGCAGGCAATGTAAAGGACTTCAAAATTGTACTTATTAGTACTGTACATATGTATGTAGTTACTGTCCACCACAATTAAAAACTAGTTCTGTTTACTTAACATTGACTTGTAAATGCAGCCCCAACAGTGCTGAAGGACGTGCCCCCCCACTCCCGGCTAATGCAGGAGGAGATTTTCGGCCCCTTGTTGCCCATAGTGGCCGTGAGTGACATGGAAGATGCCATCCGCTTCATCAACGAGAGAGAGAAACCTCTGGCGCTCTATATCTTCTGCTCTGATAAGAAGGTGAGAGGAGACAGCAGAGGCGAGGAGATTTAAAACATGTTTCAATGTTTAATGTTCCTAATGTGTATTCTCCTTCTGTCTGTTGAAGGCAGCGAAAAAGATGATTGAGGAGACCTCAAGTGGAGGAGTGGTGGTCAATGACGTCATGATGCACTACACGCTCAGCTCGCTCCCGTTTGGTGGTGTTGGTAAGTCTGATTCAAAGTGCTTTATATATGTATTTTTTCTCAGGTGTATTTTTTCATGGGGGCAGTGCAGGGCCGTATTAACCTGTGAGGGGTGCCTCAGGGCTAACATTTTATTGGGCACCTATTCCCCCTCTAGTGTGTTGTTGCACTCCAGTTCAAAACAAGGTGATATTTAAGGAAAGATTTTTTTATTTCAACAGTTTGAGTTTATTAGATAACGTTTTAAAGGTCCCCTATTATACTTTTTTTCATCAATATATTATAGGTCTCAGATATATAAAAACATGTCTCTGAAGTGTTTGGCTCGAAATACCTAACAGATAACCCATTGTAGCATCCCATAATCCCCTCTGTTTCAGCCCTGTTTCAAAAGTGCTGATTCTGTGTCTGTTACTTTAGATGAAAATAAGGAGCCACTTCCCACGCCCCTCTGAGAGATATTTGGTTAGAAAGAGCACAATGGTGCTCTATTCCAGGGGTCTGCATGCGGCTCTTTA